AGCCTGACTCCAGGCACCCGCTACTCCGTCCAGGTGTTCGCTGTGAAGTGTACGAGAGACCTGAACCCACAGGAGGACACCTTCTACACCAGTGAGTTCACCTCCATCTGTAAAACCTGCATTATATTTAAATACACTTCCACTTGTTAGCGCCAAAAGCGACCAAGCCTTTTTCCCATAGTAACTTCATATTGTGACTTGCTGAGCTGAGAAAATTATTCGATTATAAGCAATCGTAATGTGTTTTTTTAGCATTTACAATGCAGACTGTTTCCATACTTGATATTAAATCAGAGAGTATCCCAGAGCATTTAATAATTCAAAAACAGTACAACTTAGAGGCACTCATTTGACAATTTTAGGTACTTTCCAGATCCACATTATTGATAGTGAATTTGAATAATGTATGATACATTGATATAGATGGAATTACCCAGCGTTATGTAAAGTAATTCAAATAAGCCCCACCAACACCAGCTAGGAAATAAAGGGATGCATATTTTATTGCACCCAACCTAATATTCCAATATTATATCTTATTCGATTCTTATATGGTCCATTATGCATGATAGAAATTAAATGCAAGTATTTTTAAAAGCTTAATTTGGTTCTTTTACTTCCCTATTATACTATTTTTCAACAAAAAAACACAATGGTGCTCTAGGAGGAGATTCAGGTGATAAGGTGACGACATCATAAAGTGGCCAAACTCTGATCAGCTAAGTTTCAGACAGGTTTTTATATATAAATGGATCGGGACAATAAGAGAGAGAATCTTTTTTACTGAGACTTTGCAGATCTCTTCACACAGAGGGGACTCATATTTATGTATAACAGACATGAAAGGGTGGATTGTTTATAATAGGGGAACTAAGTAAAAATGTTAGCGTTTTGTTACACTGATTATATCTCTGTTTTCTTTCAGCACCGAACAAAGTGGAAGACCTCCAAATCACCAGCGTGACAGAAACCTCCGTCTTCCTGAACTGGACCAAACCAGATGGGAATTTAGATTTCTATCTGATTAAGATCAAAGATGGGAAGCAGATTAGTAGCAAGACAGAGGGCAAGGAGGTCAGAGATTTGATACCTGGACACTTTTACACCTTCACTGTCCTCTCAGGAGTCAGGGATAATTCCACCTGGAGTGAAGAATCCATCGTCTCACGAAACACCAGTGAGTGTTTACCGCATAGCGCAAAACATAATGCATGATGGGAACTGCTGTACTTTCCCCTACGGTTGAAGTGTGTTATTTTACCTTTTATTTGGTAGAGCATTTCACCAGGAAGTAAACTGTATGAATAAGACCAGTGAACACTTGTTCAATAAAGGACATTTTTATAGCTAGGCATTTCTTTCTACCAGTCTATACGATTTAAATAAGCAAATGAGGGCCATATCTGAGCTGAACAGTGACTCATGTGATATTGTGATATGGGGGGGGTAAACAGTGACGTTGTGTCCGTTTCCCTTTCAGAGCCTGGGAGAGTGTCAGACCTGAGCGTGTCTCGTAATACCCATTATTCACTGCAGCTCAACTGGAAGAGTCCCGTGGGAAATGTCTCATTTTTCAGGGTTGTCGCTATAATGGATAAGTATGTATTTGTAGATAGATCGCCCAGAATACATTTTTTCCTCACTTAAACTCAGGTACATTAATAGTTTGTCTCGCTAACGTACATAGAAAAAAATCGAAATGACTTTGGTCAATACATTAGGTACACAAATGTACAACATACAGAAGTTAAAAGTGGTAATGCAGGTTGTGAAGGAGGGAACTACAAAAGGTATACCCAAATTGAAATAAAATGGTGTCATATTTTGTATTATTGTTTTCTCTTCCTAGAAAAACGCTGGTCCGTCAAAATGTGACCATTACGGAAGTTAACGTAACAGGCCTGCCAATTGGCTCCAAGATAACCCTCAGTGTGACGGCACTGGTTAATGGCAACATTGAGGGAGACAGTGTAACTATCGACGACTACACCGGTAACTCATATTTAACTAATTATTTATACAAAAAATTGTCCTCCTGTGTCACTAACATGCCTCTGTGACTCTTCCATAGCTCCTGGACCAATTAAAGGCTTGAATTTGAGCTCAACAGACGTGTCGCTCAATGCCTCGTGGAATTCTGAGGGGGATTCTTCATCTTTCGTCGTCCAGCTCGTGCTTGAAGGCAAGGTTCACGAAAGAAAAACAAATTTCTCTGAGATCACCTTCACCGGTCTGAAGACTGCAGCCCAATACCAAGTGATCGTGTACGCCTCTAACGGACATCTCGAGGGCGAACCATCGACCAAATCCATATTCACCAGTGAGTCGCCTTGGTATTTGTCGTTTTTTGTGTATTTAAAGTTATCTCAACATTGTGGTCCCGGTTGATCTGGCGACACACTGAAACGGTGACTTTAATTAAAGATTTCACATAACTGTATTAGGTTTGTTGAAAGCAAATATATTAAGTTTAAACAAAGAAAATATTAGGTTCAACTTAATATTATTGCTTTTAACTAACCTAATACAGTTTTGTGACATTTGTTGACATAATACGTTAAATGAAAGTCAACGTTTTAGTTTTTCAGGGGAATGGGGATTATTTCACGGGAATCTCTTTAGCTTCATGGTCTTTATACTCACTTTATTATGATAAAGATAATCTGATAAAACACTGCCTCATTTCTTTCTGTTTTTTCCAGTGCCGTCGCCGCCCACTAATGCCAAATCCACTTATCAAGATAAATCCAGCATTACCTTCGAGTGGGATCCCCCTGCCAAAGTAGGAAGAGTCACGTACGCTGTCGGAATCATCTCCAGCTTCTGGGGCCACACCGTGTCTGAGAGAATCGAGAACAAAACCACACACAAGTTTACGGGCTTAAAATCAGGGACCAAGTACGATTTTCAAGTGCAAACAGTGGCGGCTGAGCATCTGAGTGCAGCAGCAACTGTGTCAAAATACACAGGTGAGACTTAATTTTAAAACAAACATTTTCACCGACAAACTTTGGTTGTACATTCCCCTAAGATCACCATAAAAGTTGTGTTTCAGACAGAAGGTGGATACGGTTATATAATAACATTAAAGCAACTGTTCTGATACAAACATTACAGTTTTAAACTAGAAATTGGGCCAAATGTGTCCCCTTTATTAAACCTTAAATGGGGAAAACATAATATGCTAACTGAAAATGAGCATGTTATGCTATATTGACATTAACATTCCTAAAAATGATTTAAGAATCTTAACTTTGGTTGTTGATTTAAGGCACCATATGAATGTTGTTGCCCTCAATTTCTTGTTGATGAAAATATGTGGCAAAAACGTGAAACGGTCTCGAGTAAAACATCTTTTAAAGAAACTCCAACACCTGAGGTTTGATATTCATCTGTTCAAAAGCATACACAAGCTAAAAAGAACCAAGAACGCTAACAATAAACCAACATGAGTTTTGTAGTGATTCATTAAATAAAGTTGCAGCAAACTCTCACATTTTAAGTTTTGGAACACCTATTTGCAACAATATTGTCATTAAAGCCGACACATTCTTGATTGATTTTCTGCCACTATTTGTTTCACAGAGACAAATCTTGCCAAAGCAAACATTCTTGCAAGATGGCCGTTAGATCTAACAAGCTGTTTGTCCCCCAGTTGCAGACAAAAGGGAAATCAGCCTGTCCATGATGTGCTCTTCGGCTGAGCCTCTCCTCTGTGATGAAAATACCTCGAGGGTTAGTGTGTTTGAACAGGTATGTCTGATACACACACAAACAGGGTTTAGTTTGAATCTAAAACAGTAGTCTCTTCTCTACAGAAACAAAGAGCAGCGGTTATTTGGAGTGTGTGATATGGACTGGATTAGCTTTAACAGCTTGTGTTTGTGTGTTGTATTGCAGTTGAAGAAACATTTCAACGAGGTTCTGGGGGAAAATATTTTCTGGAAACTCGAGGAGGTGAATCCCAAAGAAAAATGAAGACATCATTTATTATTGTTCCTCCTTTAATTGTTATTTACATTATTTTAATGTTTTCTGTCTTGGTTTTCATTTTTTGTAGATTATTGTTCCTCTGCTATTTAGCGAAAAACACTGATTTTATTTGAGTGTAATTTTTTGGGAAAACTAAACTGCTTAAATCTTTGTCATACTGGATGATTTTCACTTTGAATTTTTTCTTTTACACAATGGTGGGCATGTGTGCTCATCCTGTATTTCCACCTGGAAAATAGAAGACATGTATTGTAGGACAGCATTGTGACATAATACATTGACATATACTCTCATTTAGTCAAAATAGCAAGATAGTAATTCAAACAACCATTTTAGTTTTTTTTAGGTTTTCAAATATGTGTCTGATTTACCTGAATAAATAAAAAACGTTTTTAGTTAAATAGCATTTTTGGGGTAATTATTCTTCTCTGAAAAGTAAACGAATGTATCTTCTAGCGCTCAATAATGTTGGGCTCTTTAACCTTTGCAGACCATTTGAATCAAGAATGGTAAAAACATATAACACACTACAGGAATTGGTAAACTATAAAAAACATTAAAAGTTTTGTAAGTTCGACATTATTTGCCCACAATAAAATTGAAAAAAAATCAAAAGTCACACACAGACAGACCTAAAGTGACACTCACCTTTACCAGAGTCTGTTCCATAACGAGAAGACCGTCGGTAGATAAGCAGCAGATAGATGACGTCAGCAGATAAACAGAGAAGTGTTTGAGTTACAGCTGTCATGTGAGGGTTCAGGCTCTGTCTAACCCCTCCCCCTCCCAGGGTCTGCTGTCAGAAATACAACTTCACATATACGTCACTACGCCTTCCAGCTTCCCATGTTAAACATCCAAGTATTCATTTACAACTTGAGTTCCCGTGTTTAAGAGAAGTGCTGTGATATGAGGAAGGGGCGGCACAAACCCTAACCCGAAAGTGAGAATGTGTGAAAGAGTCAACAAGCATGTAAAACATTTCAAGTAAGAGGAGAAAGAGCATCATGGATTTGAGAAACGAACAGGATGAGGCGAAAAGAGAAACACCTGCAGGTTAGTTTTAAGAACATTTTTAACCTAAATGAATAATATTTTTCTATTTTTTATGAAGTGTTTGATTAAAATTCAAAGACAAACATCACACTTCAGAAAACCTTGACTTTTTCAGGATGCATAGGAAGATGAAACTCACCATGTGGGGAAACATTGAATTATTTAAATGATAATGGTTCCTCAATTTGAATGATCCTTCCCTAAAAACGTATTTTTCTAAGAAATGTGATGATGTGAAGTGGGATAGACGATGTGAGAGATAATCATTTACCTTTTTTAAGTAGAAAAATGTAGTAGTAGTATATATAGTGGTGTTCATCATACAATCCTGTCAAAGTACTATCTCAATCGGCTAGTAATATTAGAAACCTAGTTAATTTACACAAAATGACAAAAAATAAACGTTGTGTGGAAAGGCCATTTTTGGAAGTATCTACAGATAAGAAGTTGTGATATACCAAAGTCTTTTAGGTATATCACAAAGCCCCCCTACATACAGTATGTGCATAAAAGCCAATATGGCTAGTCACCCGCATCTTTCTTATATTAAACCAACAACTTCCTGCCTAATGATTCTGTTAAAATGAATAGTATGTATCAGAGGAACTAGAAGAAATATAGTGAGATAAACACATTTTCTAAAATTGTTACCGGACGTGTAAAATGTGTGAAAGACAGAGGGTAAAGCTCACAACATGCATTGAGTTTCATGTAAAACGATATTTTGTGTTGGAAATGTAAAACTGAAATAAGAACTTTCTTACATTAAAAACCAGGTTTTAGAAATGTTGCCCTGTTGGTTTGGTCCAAAAATATCTTTAAGACTATTATTGCCCTTTTTTCAGGAAATTTTCACTTTATTCTGCGAGGGTCTAAAGACAGAGGGTGTCATATCTGTGCTCACTGTCCAGCCCATAGACAAATGTGTAGTTTGTGAGATTGGGTTATATCACATTTGGCTGATTGATTGAAATATGTGTTTATTGGGGGGCGCTCTCATAACCAAAGGAAACACGTTTTAGTAGAATACGTAGCAATGAGGAGGAACGGTTTTTCTACCTACATCTCCTCTGTGATCCTTAAGTTAACTCACACATATTTGTATCAAACAGATTTTTTATTTTTTTTTAATGTTTATACATACTAGATTTATGTATTGTAGTCATAACATAAAAAGAAAGTGTGCCATGTTGGAAATAACACAACATATATATATTACAAAACAGTTTGACCTTATCTGTATCTGCATCACAGTTAGACATTGTTATACTGTCAAACTCATCAGTACTTTGCATAACAGCCCATTAACCTCACCCAGTTAAATGCTGGACAATAGCAAGCTGACATTTTCTTCTGGTTAAAAGTCCAAGTTTACTTCTCGGAGAAAGTGTCCAAGTTTTATCTTAATGGGTGTCAGAGGTCAAACAGTGAAGCCACAGGAAGGTCATAGTATGATGTGTTTTAGTGCTCAAGTCATTGGTTAACAGGTTTATGTATATCCTACGTTTAGTCATTTTACATTGTAAGATAAAATAAGATGGACTTTTATTAATCCCCGTGGGGAAATTGTTTCTCTGCATTTGACCCATCCTGGTGTTGGTCTTGCCGGGACTTGAACTGGTGACCTTTCAGTTGCCAAGCCAAATCCCTCAACTTCGCCACCACCGCCCTAAGATAACCCTTCTTGTTGACAATGACGATTTCAGAAAAACGTCTGCTTACATGACATTTAAGTTTCATGATTGTTAATTGTTTTACTCCACAGTTGCAGGATGCTGTCACACTTGTCAACTGACAACTCGTGTGGCTGTTGTTATGGCAACATCAATTGTGGTGATAGGACTTCTAATGGGTTTGGTATTATTTGGTGAGTATAAATGTAAAAATAATACATGTTATATACATTGATCCTATTTGTGCCCGCATAAATACAAATAATTTAGGACTACAGTTTATTTTACATTTCATTATTTTCAAACCATAATAAGTCAGATATCAGGTATATGAATACAGTTTAAAAATAACTCATATTGAAACATTGAAACATTTATTTTTTGATAATAAAGCGGGGCATCAACATATATTTCCTGTTATTACTATACTTGCCATCATAGAAATGACAAACCATCTTCAAATACACTGCATCAAGTTATGTTTATTGGCCAGTCACGTGGACAAGAGCACCAGAAGTGGATCAGACCGCCAAAACGTCGGGCCATGAGCTGACGGAGAGGCTGCAGCAGTGCCAAAGAGACCGCCAGGAAGTGAACCTGATGCTCCACACCGTAACTCAAGGTGATTTATATTCTCTTCTCTGATGCCAACATCTCACATCCTGCCCATGTGACTTCTCAAAGTGTGCGGGTGCAGTCGTAAACACTTACAGGACATTAAGATAGCACATCTTTGATTGATGACAGTGGTGAAAGCTCTCATGACATCTTGGTATGTTGAGTTGTATTAACCGGTGTGTTGAATGCATTCAGATCAGCGTGTGCGTCCTGCTGTGTGTGTAGACCCCAGGTGCAGTGTGTGTCCTGACGGCTGGCTGTGGTGGGGGGGTCACTGCTACTTCTTCTCAGTGGGACAGCAAGATGATCGTAGCTGGATAGAGAGCTCAGAGTTCTGCCTGCAGCTCAACAGCAGCCTGGCCGTCATCAGAGACCCCGCAGAGATGGTAACAACACAAACACAGAGATAACATCAGGGAGCGTTTCTGGATATAAAGTCATCTTAATGTCTTTTATTCTTTAGGAGTTTATCCAAGGTGTGATGAGCCGGTTCCCCCTCTTTCCCTTCCTGTGGGTGGGACTGACGGACGCTCAGCAGGAGGGGCTGTGGCTGTGGGGGGACGGGGGGGACGTCCAGCAATACATGCCGTAAGTCCAGATTCAGATGGTAACGGGTCAAAGGTTTTAAATGTGGAACATCTGCTTATAAAGGCAACATAACAGATAAATGGGAGAGGTCAGTATTTATGGATAGATGAGGATGCTCTTGCTTTATTTGTGAAGCAGCAGACACCAGAAGTATTATTCTACACTTCTAATGATACTTCGTAAATTAAAGCATCATTTTCATAATATGGACATTGCAGTTGAAGCTGTGGTGACCAAGATGTGCTTACTATGATCAAGTGATCAAGGAATGCAAAAAGATATTTGTTGATCTATTAAATAATAATATTTATTTATCCAATTTCAAACCGACAATAATGTTCGTGAAGAAGCAGTAGAGAAAGAGCATTTTATATTTATTCCACGGTTCATTTCAACATCCTAGCCAGGTGAAACACACATGAGTATTATGTATACCGTAGGAAACAAAAATACGACAAAAAAACCCATCAAAATCATTGTATGTGTTTCTAGTTAATAAATCATTCAAACCAAAGAACATTTTCATTAATTTCCTTTTGAAACATGTTTTTTTTTCTGTAAACAAAGTGGACCAAAAGGCATTTCTGCAAGTTCAGCTGACCTGTTGTACACGATTCTAAGTATTAGATGAAATATCTCTTTTAGGAATTATGAAAAAATACAGACCTGTAAAATAACTTAAAAATAAAATGAAGCTGAGACTAAATAGCAAAATAAGGACCTTTCGTTTGGCTCTTAAATCAAATGTATAGTCCAATAGGTCGATATGTGGATAACAAATGATTTTATATATTCTTGGAGAATAACACTCACTTCATACATTTTAATGAAATATGTGTATTATTACAATATATACATATAAACAAGCATTTACATATAAACACTGAAATACAACTGATTGTATTTGTTTACATTTGAGTATTTATTCACATACTCTAAGTTTGTTACCACAGATAATCTTTTGGATAAAAATGCAACATGTCCCCCTTTGTCCCTTTGCAGGGTGACGGTGGAGTGGGATGCTGAAGACAGGGACTGTGCAGACCTGCGGGGGGGCGGCAGTCTCTTTGCCTCCAGCTGTGAGGCTTACGGACCCTGGGCTTGTAAGAGAGGCTCCTGACACACATGTAAACACATTTTACATTTATTTAAAATATAAAACATTTGAATAAATATAAATTGTCATGCAAAGAGAAGAACATCAACATTGTAATAGGTTCAAGTAAAATGTACAAAGATTTACATTGATGTCAGAGATATGAATGAAAAATTACAGTATGTATATAAATATTCATTGCATTTCTAAAAGTGCATTATAAAGTGCATAGATATGGGATGTGGGATCTTTCATGTCCACACATAAATAAGGAAATTCTGAACAAATTAAATGTAATTTTCCAAATATTCCATGGTTTAAAATAAATACTTTACACAAAGTTTCGTTTCAATGTTTTTGTTTCTGACCGTCTGATCAAAATCTCCACTTATGTCATTGCAGATTTTTCTAATGCTATAATCAGATAAATCTATTTACAGCATCATGAGCACTTTGATATAGATCAGTCGTAGTTTGCGTATCACTATTTGACAGCAACTATTTAAAGCAACATAGAAGGTCAATCAAATCCCCCCCAAAAAACCAACTTTTCCATTAAGTTACAATGAATCCACCAAAGAAGCTCTCCCAGTAGCTGTATTATGGACGATCCTCAGCACAGTGCGGCCCCCCAGCGGGGCGAACAGAGGGTACAGCTTCCCCCTGAAGCTCCCAGTGAAGGTGTAGATGTGGGTCTTTTTCTCTGCGTTGTAGAAGGAGATCTGGCCCTCCTCATAGTCTAAGTACACCCCCATCCGTTTGGGCACCATGCCGACGGGCAGAGCGCTCTCCGGCTTGGTGCAGGCGTAGAAGTTGTTGTTGCTGCGCCACAGGACCCAGTAGCCCTCCTTGGGGGTCATGGGGAACCGGCCGAGACGCTTGGAGTCTGCGGTGGTCACTCCGAGACGCCAGAAGCCATTTTTGGATATGTCCACCTCCCAGTAGTGGCGCCCGCTGCTGAAGCCCTCCCACCCCAACACGCAGGGCCAGCTGTCGAAGCGCTGGGGGCTGAAAGGCAGCTCGGCCTCAGAAAGACCCTCCTGGACCTGGTCCTCCGACATGTGCAGCCAGGGGTGGTTGGTCATGGGGTCCAGGATCACATCAGCTGTTAGGGAACAGAGAAAGCATGAGGTTGTTGTCAAATAAGTGTTGTTATACAAGACAAGATAAGATGAATAAGGGTTGGTCTTACCTGCTGCGCTGCAAATCCAATTCCAGACTGCAAACAAAGACATGTATGTTATTGAATGTGCAGTGGATAAACAACAACAAACGTGTTAATTAAATGCTGTGATTTACAGAGGATGGGATAAAAGGTGTTTCACAATACACTTACTAATTCTTTTTCTCAGCGTTATTTTTTAACTTGCCTGATCATTTTCCTTTAAAATACTCTTTAGGCCTCTACAATTTATTCTAAAAAGGACAATCCATTTTTATGTGTACTAGTCACACCTTATACAAGACAAACTGTGTTGAGTTGCTGAAAAGAGAAATAGCTTTTTATTAAATGATCAAAACCTCCACCGTCTTAATCACATCAGAATAATATATTGATCGTACTTTGGGCAAACCTTTGTCCTTTTTCAAACAAAGAGTCAAATGATTATACAATTATTTTAATCCACACCTGAGTTGGGGATGTATCTTGAAATCCCAGCTTTCCAGGTCCTTTGTTTTGCCAGTAACCATAGCTGTGGAATCATTTTCTGAAATGGGAAAACAAAAAGGTAAAAATCACTTTTTTCCACAAGAGCAACATTTTCATTTATCACCATGAATCATGTTAATGTATGTGATGTACCAGTGCTTCCTGTTAGCACTTTGCTACGTTTGGCTGACTGTGGTGATGACCCTGGCTTTATGAGGGCAGTAATGCAAAATAGACCAGAGCATGCACCCAGTGGCGGTTCTAGACCAATTTGACTGGGGGGGCCAGGCTGGGGCCAGTTATTTTCTGAGGGGGGCGCAATAAATGCAGGACGAAAAAGACAAAGACATTATGAAGTAATTGTGCATAAGAAAACAATGCAATACAGTTATTGGTATTTGTTTCAGTACATATTTATTTCAGATACTTAGTTAGTTTGTACGCTCCAACCTTTTTTAGGATGAGAGCTACTTTCAAAAAATAAAACAAGTCGGGGGCTACTTTTACTCCTTTTTTTTGTTTTTTGCAGTGTATATATTTAGCACATTTTTACATTATTATATGCTGACCTTTAACCTTTGTGTGCTGTTTGGGTCTGTGGGACCAGTTTGCAGTGTTTACTCAAATAACATGCATGCACTTTAATTATTTTAACCTGATTTATTTGGGGGGTGGACCTCACATCCTCTAGGGGGGTCCGGGGGCATGCACAACCTGGGAAGATTTTTTTTAAATGTTGAAGTTAAATGCATCAATCTGGTGCACTTTGAGCACAACATGAATTTATGGATACAGCTCTCAAGACTCATATGAAAGGGAGCTGTATACTTTTCAATAATCCAAACATCTTTAGAATATTATCACAACCAATAACAAATAATTTAAANACTCTGCCCAGCTCCTCGCTCGGCACACCACAACTCTGCAGACACAAACACTCAGTCAGCTTCGAGAGTTGGCATTGTTTTCCCCTTAAAAACCACGCATTCTTACATACTGCCTAGTGCCTACTGTAAAGAGAGTAAAACTAAGTCATTTCCCTTCATGCGCTTACAATTCCCAACTGAGATACACTTGGTANNNATCACTCCCCTTTTAAACTGTTGCAAGAACATGATTGGTCGATATTCATTGTGGGGGGAGAAGGGGTGTTAGATAGATATAGAGTTGTAGTAAGTAGATAGAGTTCGCTATGATTGAGGTTTCGTTAATGCATAGGGTAGATTATTTTAATTACATTTCCTTTGTAAAAAAAAATATTTTTACATTTTGGATTTGCTTGGCGAGCTACTTATTGAGGGCTTGCGAGCTACCGGTAGCTCGTGATCGACGTGTTGGAGACCCCTGCTCTAATGGGTCCCACTAGATTGACAAATAGCGTTAGTTACGCCTATTCCGTCAGCCAAGAAATCGTTTAATCCTAAACTTTTTTTCATTTTTTTTTCAGGGGGGCCACAGGGGGGTCCAAAGTCTGTTTTAGACGAGCACTGGCCCCCCCTGCCCCCCCCCCCCCCTAGAACCGCCTCTGCATGCACCAGTAGTCAACGGTCATTTTCAAGTTCCTCATTGTATTCTGTGCCTCTACTGTGACATTTTTGCAGACCATTTACATAAACAACCCTATATAACACACTACAGGGAAGGGACACCCCAGAGAAAGCATAATATAAACATAAATAGAGAAAATGCAGTTTATTGTTGCTGCAGGTATAGTGGAAATTCCCGTTTTCAAGCATGAAAGAAAGTAAAACTGGACTCTAATTGCGATATAGTCCTTCAAACTTCAATAAAATAACTTTGGCCTGTATACCGCACCTTCATCTGCGTGTGAGATGAAAACTGAGCAGATAAACGCTTAGTTATTAAGGACATTTATTGTGGAAGTCAGGGTCATATAAGCCAAATCACCGAGTGCATTTATTGATGCTCTGCACACATTCAGAGAGCAGGGTTCACTTTAACCACATGTTATGTCATGTTGCTTCATGTCACACACGTAGCCAAGCCAATTATTCGTTTTATGGTCAGATTAAATGTTGGTTTCTATTTCATTTCAGCCTTCACAGAAACAACGCAATGTTATGGCAGAAATGTTCTCACCGTGCTGTCTTCTCTGAGCAGGGACCAGGTGATGAACTCCAGCAGAGGAAGCAGGTTCCCCAGACGCTTCTTCTTCAGGCCGAGCTGACTCAGCACTCTGCCCAGCTCCTCGCTCGGCACACCACAACTCTGCAGACACAAACACTCAGTCAGCTTCGAGAGTTGGCATTGTTTTCCCCTTAAAAACCACGCATTCTTACATACTGCCTACCAGGGCCGGCCCTAGACATTTTGGTGACCTAGGCGAGATTATGATTTGGTGCCCCCCCCCCCTCCAAGCAAGACACAATAGAATATAGAAAGAATAAATGAAAAATCTCTGCAAATGACCAATATACTACAAACACTGAAACGTATTGACATGTTGGTTATATAAATAAAGAAGGTTTGAAATTCATATTCATTATTGTATGAACATGTTTTAATTGGCGGGTGGACGTCACATCCAAAAGAAATTTAACATTTTAAAGTAAAATGCTTCAATCTGGTGCACTTTGAGCAGAATAGGGGATACAACTCTAAACACCCATATGAAAAAGATCGGTTTGCATTTTAATAATCAAATAAGTATGTGAACATAACCAATAACCTACCATAGCCAATAACAAATAAATGTAAAGTATTTTATTTTTGTTGTTCAAATTCAATTATTAATGTAAATGCATTACATCAAGGGCAGACTATTAGGCAGAATACAAATTAAAAAATAATATATATTTTTTTTTATTATAATTTTTTTTCTTCCATTGCAGCGCCCCTCCAGATCTGGCGCCCTAGGCGACCGGCTAGTTCGCCAGTGCCTAGGGCCGGCCCTGATTGTATGCAAAGGATTTTACAGTTTTTACCCTTAGAGTTAGAGAAATACGTTGTTTCTGCTACATAACAAAAAAA